ATTATATATATATAATATTGACCTTTCAGTTGTGCCTAATTAACAATACAAAAGTTACATTGATGCAATTCACGTGCACTCATGTTACTCTATCAAATAACATAAAGGAGACCTTTGGTCTGTTCAAAGTAACTTGTCTTGGTTGTGTTTGTCTATTAGTATTTTGTAAAATATGGTCACATTTCAATTATTATACATTATGTATGTATATAGATTATTGCTATTTTGAATTAAGTTCTTAAAGTTATTTTTTCTAAACCATAGAGCAGTAAATAAATAAGTAAAGCAAACATTATCCCTTCTAGTTACGACCTTTGTTCTCAATTGCTGCTTGATGTAGGTTGTTAAGCCTTTAAAAATTTTGCACATGGAAGAGATGAAACAAAATTTTTTTTTAGGTTTTATATATACTTTTGAATAAATAAAAAATCATAAATTACTACATCAATACCATAGAATTCTACTATAATTTATCAAACCTAGTAACTAAGTTCTACTTGGGTCTAAAAAAATATGAAATTTTAAGCAGACTAAAGACACAACCTACCTCATTGAAATCTTGCTTCAAAAAAAGAAATGGCATTAGGTATGTTAGAAAGGCTGAGAAAACCACTAGGGGGACATTCTGAGCTTCCAATTGGTTATTCATGTTATATATATAGAAGTAAGTGTTTATAAGGGAGTATTTCTAAAAATGGAAAGAGGTGAATGGGGTGCTACTATGTTTGATTTAATAAGTGAACAATATCTTGGCAAATAGAAAAGATAAGAGGTTCTTATTTTCTATTCTAGCTTGTCAATATTGGTAATTTGAGTTCCCAATTCGTATGAAACTATAGACTTAGTATTTTGACTTCATAAACAACTAATTTGAACCAGTACTGCATTCAACATACTATGTAACACAAAAACTGATGTTTATCTGTGTTTTTTAATATTTACTTATAAATTAACAAATTGAGTGATGTATACTTCTAAAATTTGAATTATATTCTACAGTTTGATACCCAACTTACTGACATAAATTTATGAAATGGTAGTTCAATAAAATTTTGAATGTGAGTCAACAAACAAGATGACATGGCCTTTGACCTGTGACCCATCTCGAAAAGGTTAACTTAGAAATATTTCTCAAAGTTTGAAACTATATAAAATTTAAATCTTTACAAAGATGTATGTTACCTTCCGTCTCTGACAAGACAATTTCTGAGAGGGGGATATACCACTTCACTTCAAAAGTAAACTTTTGTCTGAAATTATATGTAAGACAACATAATTTATTTATGAAGTACTTATTTTATTAATAAAAAATAACAAATATGAAATGATAACTATAATAATCACTAAAACTTAAACATATTCAAAAACACATTCAGAGCATGAACACCAAAGTAGAATAACACATGTATTTAATTAAAAATATCACATTATGATTAACAAACAATTAAAAAATTATAAAGATCTCTAATCATACAAGCACAGTATTTCTGATAGGTAAACAGGCATTTCAATCCATTACATAACCCACAAAAGAAGCAAATTAGAAAAAAAATAAAATAAATTAAGTAATTCATGTCAAGCGTAGAAAGTTTATAACAGATTTGATGAAAATATATTAACTCTGATTTTTTAAAAGTGAAAAGAAAAACTTTTATGAATTCACTTTTGGTATAAACTATGTAATGCAGTATTGCTTAGGGCAAAAAGTACAAATTTGTGATTTTTATTCTACACAAAGAATATATTATAATTTGACCAAGATACAAAGAAAAACATTCATACAATCTCTTAAAAGTTGTATTTTTTCAAATTATCAAAAAAATAAAGCACATTTAATATAGTGTTTACACTTAGAAAAACATCTACTTTACTTTGTAGAAGGTTTATATTTGGCACAGACAATCACATCGTTGAAAAGGAATAAGTGTCTCAGTTTTCGATGTCCTTCAGAAAGTTCTATAATAAAACTGTTCTTCACTAGGTGTCTTTGAGCTCTATCTTGAGCCTTAAAATAACGAAAGAAATTTTTTCTAGTAGCTTTTATACATCATAGGATAAAATGATTAAATAAATAAAAAAACAAGCTTTCTCAATGTTATTTCAGTTTCTTTAGTACACAAATCTGATCCCAGTATCAAAGCTCCCCCTCCATACAAGTTGTTTAAGCCAAACTGAAATCTTATATTGTTACTTGGTAACCTTAGCTTTAACTTAGCAGTCCTTTCTAGTAGTTAAAGAACTGTACTTTCTATAGGAAAGGTTACCATTCAAATGTAGGAGCTTATGGAATAAAGTACTAAACGAGCATGAAGAAAAATCAGTCTTATACCTTTAATAAGGTTTTATTTCACTTTTAGTGAACTCATACCTTCAGTTGACATAAATAACTTTAATAAAATACATATTCTTATATACATTCATACATACCTAGTACACACATAAAAAAAATAACAAAGAGAAACTTTACTTGAAATTCAAAACAAACCTGTTAAAGAATTCTAAGGGGATGCTAACTCATAAAGAGCAAGATTAGCACACAACTCCCGGAACTTAGAATTAGTGATTCTAAATATCCTAATGATTAGTTTATATAAAAACTGTTTAAATGGAAAGAAATATCTTAAACAGTTAAGCAATGTTTTGTTTGAGTAACTGCTTATAAAAGTTACTAATAATGCTTTAAAAAGATGCAGACAAAGTACTATAAAACATTTAACGGCTGCAATATTTCTGTTACCAAGAATTATTCATGTAGCTTGAAAATTAATTGACTGTCTTTTACTGAATGTGATCACAACTTACTGGAAACATGCTTTCTGGAGTGGAGAGTTTTAACTTGTCCAGGAAATGCTGTGTCAACTTCAGGGCAGTGTTCAGGGTCTTGTAGTCAGGGTGGGATTCAGGAATGTAATGCAACAGATCCTAGTAGGATAACAAGTTTAAAAATATTCTGCATTCAATATTTACAAAACCTCCTACTCCTAAAACATTACTGCTTAATTAGCATTAGTATAAACACTAAGCCCAAAATCTGTGAAAATTAATTCTCTCACTATGGGCTTAGTCAATTTGCCCAAGTTCGTAACCCATAATTGACCTTTAGAGTTTCTATATTATAACTCCTAATATGTTTTGTATATCTTCATGAAATTTCACAAGCTTTCAGTAAACATCATGTCTTTTGTACAGAAAAAATCATAATATTTAATGAAGTATTCTTATTAAAAATTTCTCCGTAAATATATGGAGTCTGATCTGAGTGCAAAGAGATTTTTGTGGTAACATTGAAAATACTTTTCTTCGTATGAAAATTTTCAAATTTTATTTGCTTCATCTCTAAAACCTCCTAAATAAATTTCAAAAGGTTTTTTCCAGTAAAACTTTATATTTTATCTGTAATTTTCTCTACCATAATTCTCTCCAGAGTCAGTCAATTTTACTGACCTCATAACCATCATAAAAATAAATCTAAATTACACCTTTTCTCTTTCTAAAATGATTTCAAACTGTAACAGGAAACTACATCTGTTTATCCTAAATAGCTTAAAGCTCATAACAGTATAGATCTGTTCAACTTAAATTTTATTGTTTTACTGCCCTTTGAACCATGTCTAACCTATAATCCTACAACTCGTAAATCACTCGGAGAACATGTAACTGACATTACCCTATCAAATTACACAATACACAAGCTATTCGATAGAATACATTAGGAAAGTCTTTATTATTATTAATTTTTTGCTTCATCTTACCTAATCTAACCTAGGATGTTTATAACTTTTACACATTAGTTACTTTTATAATATTTAAAGAATACACAGGAAAATAAGAAATATAGTATTTTTGTGGGTCTTGTTTGTTTGCTTTTGACTATCAATGAAACTTAACCCTACATTTTCGTACTAATAGTACTACTACACTAAATATTTTTTTTATTTAATTAAATAATGCACTTAAGAATACAGAATAACATATGAAAAGCAGATAATGTCCTTTAACTAACATGCTTTTTCTGGTTTTCTAATTATGGGACAAAAGCTGTTAAAAATTCAACTAAGCTTTTCAATGTGTTTCCTATGAAAATATAGTTTGAACTGAAACTAGACAATTCTCTGTACATAAAACAAAGTAATATGATACATCACTTGATAGATTGAAACTTTGGCTTTCTATTGTTTATAAATAATATAGTATTAAACATCAGAGAGAACTATTGGCAATTTCTGAAAGAGAGGATGTGACAGGTGAGTGATGGCTCTTTAACCAAATAAGATTGAAGTCTATAAAAAATTATGCTTTGCCTTAGCAATAACTATATAATAATGAGTAATTTACATTAAATTCCCTACTTCTTGGAGGGTTGATAAATAAATTAGAAAAGAATTAAAACCAAGAAAGCAAATGTCACAATTCTCATACTAGGGGAGATTGAGGATTTTTTAAAATACTTCCTCATAAAATTAAAACTTGAATAATATTAAAATTTGATTTTTTTAAATACATTTGGATGCCAAGTTTATTTGTATGCCATGATAATAAAGTAGTTTAAAAAGTTGTGACTAGTGCATTTTCACCAGCCCATGGTGAGTGTTAAATGGAAAATGTTCAACAAAAACTTGCACAAACTGCAGCAGAAATTAGTGTGAAAGTCTAAAAAATTTATTCTATAAACTGATATTACCATTCAAGAAAATTGCAAGTTCTTTTAACTGTTTCAAGCAATTAACTTTCCAGAAAGTTTATAAAAAACACTGAACAGTGAAAATATTCATTTGTCTAAAATTATTCAGGAGTGAAACTGGTACAGCAGAAGTGAACCTTTTTTTACTACCAAACGTTTTTGTCAAAGGTGTAAAGAAAACACTACAAAAATACTAGTTTCCTACACAGTTGTCTATGGGTGAGAAAATCAAATATCGAAGCTAATCTCAACATTTTCACATGAAAAAAACTGTTTCTTTGATCAAGAAAATAAGTTCCTACTAATAAGAAATAAACTTGAGCATTGATTTTATTGGATTGGTATACCTTGCAAATTCAAAATAATCTATTCCTACTGAATATTTTAATAGTTGAAAACATACACAGAGTTAGTTATTAGTTTTTACCTAGCATCACTTGATGCTAACACCAGATTATCAAAAGCAAAACTTTGTATTTCAGCTCTATGTTTCAACTTTTCCAGACTTTAATCACAAATAATATTTCTCACTTCATACAATTTATTATTTTTGTCAAGCAGTAGAGTTGTTGTTAATCTTTTGTTAATATATATAGTTTAATACTCTGTGAATGGTGAAGACGAATACTTACGTGCAATACAAGTGCATTTTTCTGTACTCGAGCTACAGGCTTGTGCAGAAGATCTGCAAGAAAATAAAGATATTTTTAATGAACTTGTTTTAATTGTTTTTTATAGGTTACATAAGTTTTAAAAAATATGAGCAAAGCCTCCCCTCCTTCTCCTGTCACTAGCCCTTCCCAAAGACAACTAATTCCAAAACAGAGAACACTTACAAAATGTGAGAAGCCTAATAAAATGTACCTTTTCAAGATTATGATATTCTGAAGTATCAACTGTTTCAAACATATTTTCAGTCATACAGTAGTGATTTCAAAATATTGTGATTACATACAAAGTACAGACTTCTGTGACAAAATTATATCAACTGTTGAACTAATATTTCCCTCAGTAGCACTTCTAGCTACAAGACACTAATATAGGGCTGTTCAGTTTAACAAATTTAAAAGATCTAAACATAAATATTTTACTTTAAGAATGATTACTTTAATTACATACCTTCTAATGTAATTCCCTGCCCTTTTAATGACTTTAGCTTCATTGTCTAGAGAGAAAAAAAATTGAAAACTTTTAAATTTCTCAAATTGCAAAGTTTATTTTTGGCTTTGTTTAACTACTATGTCCAACTCTACATTCATTAAGTAATCACAGACTTTAAACCTGATAACAAAAGTAATTAATGAAACAAAACACTACTTTTTTCACCGACAATTTTCTTCCAAAATAGTTAACCCAGAAAGTGTTAAATAAAAACCTGGATCAGAACAATAAGTATTTATCACATTTATCCATTCATTTAATCCTACTGAGACGGGTCTTTCTATGTTCATGGGTCAAAGGCCATGTCATTACATTTGTAAAGTTACATTCAAAATTTTATTGAACTATTATTTTATGAATGTATATCGATAAGTTGAGTATCAGATTGTAGATTATAATTCAAATTTTAGTATTATATGTTAATTAATTTCTTAGATTAAAAGTAAATCTTAAAAATATTAAATACAAATTTTTGTGTATCATGTGGTATGTTGAATGCAGCATTGGTTCAGATTAGATGTTTATGATGTACAATTACAAAATCTATAATTTCTTACAAATTAGGAACTCAAGGCATGAAACTGGGACCAAATCACATGTTGAAAAAACCTAAGATAGTGACCTGAGAATAGAAAATAAGAACATGTATCACATGCATTCCCAGTCATGCAGAAATAGCCTGAATAGCAGAAATACTCAAATGTGATCAAAGACTACATATGAAAACAGAGAAAACCCAAGAAGTGAACAATCCAGAACTTTAATCAGCATCAAACATACAAGACAAATGGAGAAAACCTGTAGGTAGTACTGGTAAGTTGCCAAACATGTAAAGAAAAAAGATCACAATATCTCAGAATGAAACAAAAGAGCAACTAAAAAAAAAAATTAATATAACATGGCAGATACCCCACATGATACTAAATGTACAAGAAGGGCTCCAAAAATGGACCAGTGGAGAGAAAGATATGACCTTAAGTCCCTATTAGCAGTAGATGGTAAATAAACAGCAGTGTCCCACCACAGAAGATCCCAAAAGTAAAGAAGCCATGTGAGGAGTGAAAGAACTGAAGATGGCAAATGCCCTAACATGGAGGGAAGAAAGAGGAGGTATCTCATGAAAATCCCTAAATACAGGTGGAACACCTAAAAAAGGTGGTGTAGGGTAAACATTAATTGTAGGAGAGTAGATAGGGTAATACATAGCTGAAAAACAAGGTGAGCAAGAAAATACATAGGATTAACAGAGATCCGAAGGGCATAAAATCAAGATGAAAATCTGCCTGATGGCAAGCTAAGAAAAAAAGAATTAAAGCCTGTATAGTGCAAAGCTTGCAAGTACCCACTACTAAAAGAGAGACAAAAAGATCATCATGAAATAATGTCAGGAGAAAGGAAATATACTGTGAAATTTGTCTAAAACAACAACAACAACAGCAGATTCTGCAGTAGAGGCCTGGAATGCAATCCATGATAAGGTGGAGGAAAACTGACAAAATCTGGGTCATCTGAAATGGGTTCAGCCATTATAGGAAGAAGGCAAGCAATATTGGGAGCAGGTAGGGTGGATCCCAGGGGCCCACACAAACGAAATTAAGGGTAAAAATTATAAATTAAACAAAATTAATGGTAAGACATTGTGTAGTGAAATAAATATATGTAATACATGTTATGTGTTTAAGAAAACAAAATAGTTAATTACTGATTAACCCAGAAGTATAACCACAGGTAAATCGAAATTATCAGACACTTGTTAAGCCTAAGCTAACAAGATATTTAACTTAATTAGCAATTAACCAGTAAGTAGAACCACAGGTAAACCAAAAATAACAGACACATCTTAATCCTAATCGAACAATGCAGGACAAAGGATATCACAAAATAAAAATCTAAAATAAAAAATCTTAACCTAACAATAAGTATGTACAATATTAGGAGAAGAAGTTAATATGAAGAAGTTTAACGTTAATTTATAAAATGAAATAAGTATGCAGTAACAATAACCAATGTACGAGACTTGATTATGCAAGAAAAACAATGTAGTGAAATGAATGATTGATATACCAGTAAGATGAATTACAGGTAATTCTAAAATAACAAAGATCCCTGGTATCTGGTATAGGAGAAAAGATACAATTAAGCCTAATTTCTAACCTAAACTGGACTATGAGTATCAACCAATGTAATGAAACTTGTGTTATACAACTCAAATAACTACAGATAATAATATTAAAAATAAAATTATTCAAAAACCATAACAGTATAGTATCTTATCTCTCCAAAGTCAGCAGATCATACATCAAATTGTGTGGACCCCAAATCTCAAGGAAAGGCCTGACGAAGATTAGCTCACTGGATGATCAATTTTCAGATGAAGTACCAAAAATCTTCCTGCGGAGTACCGCTACCTGAAGCCTGTGTAAATGTGCTGACAGAACATATAATCTCTGAAGTGGTAACATAGAATTCATAATGCAAAATGAATAACCAAACACAACTGGTTGGCAGAAATAAATAAAAAGCTTTTGTAATGAAGTAATAATTTCCATAACTGGGTAGAAATATAAAATAATTCCACTTTGCAATAACTCAACAATTTTCAAATATCACTATTGTATCATAAAGAGTAAACTTGTGGAGAGAAATTAAAAAACTAGAAGAGAGCACAAACTAAACATTACAACACGGGTACTGCCAAAAGAGAAGTGATAGTTTGACAGAATTGGATAGAGGGAGTCACGTGCATCAAGAATGTGTGTTGCACTCTTGTTGGTGGAGGGTTGTTGCATGATGATTTGCATGCGAGATGCATTGAAATCTGTCAATTTCAGATGGGTGGGAGCTTCAAGGCTTGTGGCATGCACAAAAAATATTTGAATACAGAGGGCAGCACTGAACGAGAATAGATATTTATGTGAGAGGAGATAATGAGCGATATCAGAAAATACATTTTTAACTAACTGTCCATTATTCTCATCCAATAATCTTAACCACAAACACACTGATTAGTTATTAGAACTTAACAAGTGAAACAACAAACATTACATTAGAAAATGCTACCATAAATATCAAAGATAATATTTTAAATATATGTTTTGAACACTAAGCAACAGTATAACATGTAGATGATGTTGAAAGAGAAATTTAGCCAATAAAATAAAGAAATTTAGGTTGTTTAGATATCTAAAAGAAGACATACCCTAGTGAGCTCTGAGAACTTGGTGTTTTCCAGGCTACATTTACGTACAGTCTCCACAGCCTTTGAGTAATTCAGGAGGTATGCTGCATACACATCCAACTTGCTAGCCTATTAAAAATAGTTTATAATCAAAATGTTTCACATTCTGCCAAGTTTATATATTACCAAAATGCACAAAAATGTTTAACAATATAAACACTTTTTTTGCTTATAAAGAGAAGTCGTGCTAAAAGCTCTCAAGTTATAAGGTTTTTCTGAAAAACACTAATATAGAAATTGATCAAATACAAAAACTTCCAACTATTAATCCATAAAGTGAGTAGGATGTATAAATAAGTCACAAGAAAATGCTCTCAGGTTGCTTATGATGTATATATATATGTTACATTAATGTTTCTGACTCCCACTTCATGGTTATTCCACTTATATCCATCAAGTTTCTTTTTTCTCATTCAATCAAAGATGGTACACAACTGAACATTTGTCCTAAAAATACATCTTGAACTCGTAATTCTTGTAAAAAGTGTCAACAAACACATGCATTCTTATGCAAAACATATGCTTAAAGCAAGAATGAATATACAATTAGCAATGTTTAAGAAGATTCATCTAAAAAACTATTGAAAATGAGGCTTGGAGTTCTTCAGAAGACTCAGATTGACTCAAAGTGACTACAACGTTGAAGTGGTAACTGTTTATGGTGGCTGGATACGTAGAAACAGAGCTACATTTGAGTTTTATGGAAACAGTGAAGTCCAGGTTTCTGTTCAAGATGAAGAAAGTGTTCTTTAACACTTTGAACTCTTCTTCAGAAAGGACTTGTTTAAACTTATTATCCAGCACCCTGCATCAGGCCAGACCACACAAAGACAAACTATTAGGTAAATTATGTGAATCAAAAAGTCATATTTCACCATCAATTTAGAGATAACTTTAGCACAAAGAAAGTTATTGTAACCAAGAAGAAAAAACACCCTGACTACAAGGTAGATTTACATTTCTCAAAAGTTTGCCCACTTAAAACGTTAAACCAGTAACTGAAACAAAAATATTAAAAAACTGCAATCTTATAAAAAAACAAAAAAAACTGACTTACCAGGGATTTGAAAGATTCACAAATGCTTGTCTGACTATTTGAATCATTTCTGTAGTCCTTCAAGCTTTCCAGAAACTTGGAATGAATCTCGTGGAGATCAGGAATTTTATAAAAAATTACACTGAAATCTTCAGATGACAAGAGAGGTTGAGAAGTTGTAATGTTGGACTTCAGGGCTTTCATATACTGCAAGAAGTGGAATTAACTAGATAATTTAACCCTTTTTACACTGTATTTTAACTATCATTTTACTTAACTATCTTGAATGACATTTTAGTATATCACCCAGAATGAATTTTTTAAGCTATCTTTCTGACATTGAGAAAACTAGACTAAAATAGAACTAAATAATTCAATAATGAACTTTGTTTTTAATTAACTAGTAACCCTCTCAACCCTGGATATCCTTTACTGTACATGACACAAGATTTTAGGGTCTTATATTTAAAATTTTATTAAACCACACTTTGTTTGTTATACCAATTAGTATACAATAAAATCTTAGCTAATAATCCATATTTTAATAGTATATAAGTTTAAGTTCTTAATTTTAGAAAGCAATATTTTAAAAAATCCTGAATTTCCCCTAGTGTGACACACAACACATTTTCTCTAGGCATCTCCTATCCTTTATTTTATCCACCACCCCTCCACTAAGTAAGAAATTTAATATAAATTACTCACTATAAAATTGTCATTGCTCAGACAAATCATAATTTTTATAGCCTTTAATTTTGTTTGGATACGGAGCCATCAAATAGAAAGTCAGACCCCTCATGCCACACCTACCTATCACAACATCTTTCAGGATTTGTTAACAGTTTTCTGTTACATTTAATTAAAGATTACCTATAACCAATAGAAAGTCAAGGTTTTCATCTATCAAATTACATATTGTATAACATTGTATAATGAACTATAACAGTCAATTTCACTTCTAATTCAGCTTTGGTTCCCATAGGAATCACAACAGCTAGTTTGGATGAATTTGTTATAGCTCTTGTTGCATAGTTAAAAAGCCAGAAAAATTGTGATTGTTAGAAGAAATTGTCTGCTCTTTGCATGTTATTAGTCTATGTTCTCTGGTGCATTATTTAATTTAAAAAAATTAAATAAAGCAAAGAAAAAAGAATACTTGGGTAAGTACTTTATTTCTTGTTTTTCTATGTTTATTCTTTATTTATTATTATAGAAGTAACTAAAATTAAAAGTATGGATCTTTTAAGTTATTTAAGGCTAGAATAGCTAAAATAAGTAATAATAATAATATAATTAAAATTGTTCACGAAGCATGCACGCGAGCAGCTCGTGGGTAATGTAATTCGATAGCGTAATGTGAGCTGCACGTTCCTCGAGTGATTTATAACTTATAATGGTGTGAATAGCAGTTGGACATGGTTGAGATGACGAAAAGTAATTTTAATTTTAATATGAAAATTACTTTCCACACAGACTATTCAAAACAAATACTCAATATATTCATGGACAAAACTTTATTTTATTAAAAGTACTCCACTAAGAAATATGACTTTTTGTATGTGAAAGACTTGTAATATTAACTGAAAGACTGCAAATTTCGTGAAGATGTACCCAATATATATAGAGTTATAAGTATTAAATTTATGTTAGTTAAGGGTAAATTAGGTAAAATAAAAAACAATTGTAATATAATACAAGCAGCTCTGAGTAGCTCATGGGTAATGTAATTTGACAGCGTAACATGAGCTGCATGTTCCCCAAATAATTTACAACTTATAGTGGGACAAATAGTAGTTAGACATGGTTCAAAGGACAATCAAAGGGCAATAAAACAGTAAAATTTAATCATAAATAGATGTATGCTGTTATGAGTTTAAAGCTACTTAGGATAAACAAATGTAGTTTCATGTTAGAATCTGAAGTCATTCTAGAAAACAAAAAGGGTAATTTTGATTTATTTATTTATTTTTGGTGGTTACAAGGTCATTCAAATTGATCAATCTTGTATAGAGTTAGGGTAGAGAAAGTTTTACTGAAAACAAAAATTTGAAATGTATTTGGGAGGTTTTAAAGATTACACAAATGAAATTTTGAGATGAAGTATTTTTAACCTTACATGAAAATCACTTTACACACGGACTATTATAAAATCAATATATTCAGGATAAATCTTTTTTTAGTTTATTGAAAATACTTCACTAAAAAATATGAAAGGCTTATAATGTTTACTGAAAGACTGCCAAATTTCACGAAGATATACACACTATATCAAAAGTTAGTAGTATCAAATCTATAAAGACTGTATGAGTACAAAAAAGTAATGTGGTCAGTCAAATTGATGAAGCACGTGTGGAGAGAATTAAAACAACATTTAAATCTGTAGTAGACATTAATCTAAACTTTCCAATATAACATGAAGGAGAACTGTTAGAAAAACATTTCAATTCTATAGTGTGTTTTTTAAAGCTAACCTGGTATTAAAATGCAACTAACAGTGTAGTAGATTTTCTTTTATACACTTACCTGAAGGACAGTTGTTAAACAATCTACATAAATATCCTCACTCTCCAATGTACTATTTATAATATACTTCTGCATTGTTAATCTCTCTGCTTCAGCTTTGATGAGGTCCAAGTCATGTTCCTGCAATTAGAAACCAAAACAAACAAAACTATTTTTGAAAAACACTAAACAAACAGCAAAGAATTTAAGTTTGTCTTGATTAACAATATTGGTGTTGTCAGACCTTTACATAATTTTGTATGCTTCTTCCACAACATACATACTTTTTAATGTATTTTGCTTAGAAAATATTTTACTGAACTACAGAGAATGGTACTAATAAAAGACGAATATCTATTAGGGGTGCGTATCTCATCATAGTAGTTGATAAAATACATGTCTAGATACTGATGCTGTGACACTACAAGTCTCTAGATGCAGAAGGCTTACCAACAGTTTGTTACACATTTTGACAGTCTTATCTGTAATTTATTATCTATATTACTAGCACTGTCTTATTTAAGTACTTCACACTTTACAGCTGACAAGAGAAGTAAAATAAAATAGTTAACATCTGTCTATCTATTTTGTTATTGTTAATTGGTTATGTTACTTTGCATGTAATGTTTTTGATAAAAGAAATAAAGAAATGTAGTACTCAATACTCATCTTCCTTTATTGAATCATTCATTTTTAGCAAAAATACTTTATTAGAAATTCTGATTTTTTTCTGTACAAAAGACTTCTAATGTTTACTGAAAGCTTGTCAAATTTTGTGAAGATACATAAATCGTATTGCAGCTTCACTGTATCACCATATCTTTAGTATCTTTATTCATTATAAAATAATAAAAAAAATTAAAATTACAGATGCCTTACCCTGCAAAACACATTTCAAGCTTTCTTTTGTTTCACATCATGCACACTCAGATAATATTCATATACCTTTTTATATCTTTATTATTTTTGTTAGGTTTTTTATCTAAAATTGTAACTCACAACATTATAGAGACACCAGGAAAGCATCTTTCTGTGCAAGTTTATAAAATTATAAGTTGCCTCTGCTGCAATTGCTAGTTAATGATCTAGAAGGACAAAATCTTATTTTATCCATAAAAAGACACCTACAAGTTTGACTGATTGGCATAATGACAAAAATAAAGACTATAGTTAGGCAATTAACTAGTACCAATGAGCATCAATTACCTTGATTAGTGTCATATAAAATAGTTTATTCATCAAAATTACAAAATTCATCAACAGATTGAAATTAAGTTTATTATTAATACTATTTTATGATTATTTCAACTATCCAAGTAATCACATTTTGCCATTATGATTTCTAATTAACATTTTCCCTAAACTCAAAGTTGTTCAGCTTAATGGACTAATGTCACAACTCACAAAAATAATCAACCAGTCAAAATTAGTGTTTTCAATTATTACTATTTTTGATTATTCTAAATATGCGAGTCTCAAATGAAAATAACTGATATGATGAATGTTAAGTGATTAATGAATCTGACAATCAATTATCCAATTCCACTAATTGCCCAGCTCTAAGAAAGACAGAAAATATCCTCATTTGATATAGTAAAAATAAAAGCATGGTAGGAGTTTGAAACTTAATAAGAAGTGATTGAGCCAAATTTAAGTGAACCTTAAATTCAGCAATATGTACAAACGAGCTCTTAAACTGTGGTGTCAAGAGATTTTTCAATGAAATGTGGGGAAATTAGTCTTGAAGTGAGAGACCTTACCATGAAACTTGAGGGAAGCTGACTATGATGTCAGAAATCTTACAATGAAACATAGGGACAGCTGATTGTGATGTTGGAGATCTTACCATGAAACATGGGGAGTGTGAAACTGACTATAATGTCAGAAATCTCACCAGGAAACACAAGGGCAGTTGACTGATAATGGAGTATCACTTTGTCATTAATAAATAATTTTATATAAAACGCTGAACATACACTGTTAAAGTTTTTAATGATTATAGAAGCTTTACTGGTAAGTTTGTTATAGCCTACATGTAATATCATATGTTTAAATCTTGTTATGCATAAATTTTAGGAATTAAACCTATTATTGTATACATAAGCCCACCATACTTACAGTAACGTTTAGTTATTACAATCAATTAAGACATAAGCGATTCCTGGTTGTTAACTTACATTAAAACCACCTTTAACCCTTTTGGCACGGGTAGTGATTAGAGGGCATGTTATCATGTTTGTAGACTTACATTCAAAATTTTATTGAACTATTATTTTATGAATGTATGTCAATAAGTTTGGTATTAAATTGTAAATTATAATTCAAATTTTAGTATTACATTAGATAATTTCTTACTTTAAAAGTAAATATTAAAACAAATTTCCTAAATATACATTTTTTGTGTGTCACGTGGTATGTTGAATACAGCTTTGGTTCAAATTACATGTTTGTGATGTCCAAATATAAAGTCCATAGTTTCTCATGAATTACGAACTCAAATTACTAATAGCAACAAACTAGAATATACAACAAGAACCTCCTATCTTTTCAATTTACTGAGATATTATTATGTTTAGTAAATCAACCAAGATGGCTCCACCCACCTCTTCCATTTTAGGAAACACCTGCTTACGTACACTTACTTCACTCAATGACATGTTTTTAACCAATCACAAGCTCAGAATGCTCTCCTGAATTGCCTTAAAATATGGTATGTGAAGTAATGGTTCAGTAGAGCACATCCACAGAAAATATTTAATAATTTGGATTTGAGCTATAGAAGGTGGAAAGTTGCCAAACTATCACTACTGTTAATAACACACTGAGTGTCCTGCAGGTTGTCACTGTGTGTCTTAATATGCATAGTTCTAAGAAGTTACCTTAAAGTTAGTTGTGGCTCGACAAACATGATTTCTGATTGGTTGGATTGCTTCTGATAAGAAAAACTAGATATTTTGTGTTTCTTGATTAGGAAGCAAATGATTAAAAAACAAGAATCACGAAGGTGGGCAATTGTCGTAACTGATTGCCTCCTTGCATCTGTAACTAACATGGGAGTATATACATCTTTATTGACAGTAAAAGCTAATATTTCATGATTTTATACAAATATCAAAAGTGACACAGTGTAAATGCTGAGATTTGAAACACATTTGATGAAAGCATGTGTGTTGAGCCAGGAGGTGATAACTTTTAAATAATTACACCAGGATGATGTAGGACTTCTTTATCATAATAGATTTAAAGTTGTCATTTCTTTTTCTTTTTTAAGGTTGAAAGTTGATCATTACATATGCAATAAAAATTACAATTATGAGCATTTTTTAATATGGCAAAATAAAAAAACAAATCTTTCAGCAACCGGTTTGAAGATTTCTCTTTTTACAAATGAAAACTTTAAAATGATGTCACTTTATTTGACCTTTGGTTGGAATACTTTGTTTGGTTTAGAAAGTGGTTTAGTTCAAAATGTGTAGAGTTTAGGCAACGAACCTAAAAAATCTGTTTGTCTCTCACAACGATTACATAACATTACGTGTTGATCATGTACTACTCACAAGGTCAACCCCGATTTTTATGTTTCACTCATTTAAATAAAAAATGGAAAAGATATCGTGATGTTTTTTTTCATGGCACATTTACTGATAACTTCAATCATTTTAAATTTAATGAAGCTTCAAATAGATTCTCTGTAGTTGTTACAATTTTTAATGTTAATTTGTTGACAACTACGCGATGACATTGTCAATTTTACTGCACATAATAAGAATCAGGCCGATTGTGTGCTAAAATGATCGGCAATGGGTGATTTCTGATTGTGACATGATTGGTAAAACAGTACTATTGTGTTTTTTATTTTTATTTTTTCACTAATACAATATGCATAGTTGGATTCAAACAATCAAACAATGTACATGCAGTAAGGTAGATTCTCCAAACAACTTAAAAGTTTGCAATTTTTACTTGTCTGTTTTTTGAAAGTGTTAATGAAGGGGCCACACAGACTACCTAGTAGACACGTTTTACGGGCAACCAGCATTTTGGGGGGCCATTGGCTCCAAGGCCCTTTCAAAATTTCAGCCCTGATAGATGTATAATGATATGAGATTTAAGCTTTTTAAAATAAACATTTGTTGTTTCATATTATAATTTTTAGTCATTCTAGAATGAAATAAATATAATTTATATCTATTTCCTAATATATTATGGTGGTTAAGAGGTCTGTCAAATCGACCAAACCCATACAGAGACAAAACAGTGAAAATAATAGATAAAATATAGTTTTTTAAAAATGTTTGATAATTATCTGGAGATTACAGAGATTTTGCATATGAAATTCCTAATGCATTAAAGTATTTTTAATCTTAAAATCAAAATCACATTGCATGTTGGATAGTCAACAGTAAAAAAAAAAAATGCAAGAGCAAATCATTGACTAAAACTTCTTAAAACGTAATTTAAAAAATCTGATATTTTGTGTACAAAAGTCCTGTAATGTTTATTGATAATCTGCAAAATTTCGTGAAAATACCTGTACATTTTAAAAAGTTAAAGTATAACTGCTTTATGGTTACTTTGGGAGATATGGGTTGGGTGGAATCTACCCACCTGTAGTAAAAGAATTAATACTGTAAGATAAGTACAGCATTTATAAAACAAAAACTACTCACAGTATCCTTCATTTTCTCTATAGGCCATTTTCCCAAAGCATCTAATGGTTGGAGGAAGGATGCTGAATCTACAGAGCTACAATACACCCCTAGAAAACATTTAAAAAAACTGTCAGATATATGCTGTATAGATTCACTTAAGAAAAAACTATAACCATTTGTTTTTCACAACGATACAAAATACATGTTTCAAGAGAGAAAAAAAAAACTCCAGTGTACTTAAAGTAAGATTGTGGTGATCAAATATTAATTGGTTATGGATTGCCTTAGCCTAATTATTAATTAATTTTTTTGTTTTGTTTTTATATCTAGACATTAATTACTAAATAGCTTATTTCCTATGTGTTAGGAAGAAGGAAGAATAAACACATTACTACAACCCTCCTTGACTTTTATACCCAGAGAACTTGATAAAGAAAATAAGGAAGACTGGAAAAAAATTAACATATAGCCATATTTCCCTTAATCTCTAAAAACATACAAAAGATACATAAATAAGAAAGTAAGAGAAGTATTCAGACTTCACAACACAACTACACACCAAACCACTGAAAGACTCAATGGAGACGTGAAACATTTTTAAAATCCTCTGTAAATGTGAACTCCAATACACTGGAGGAACAAAAAGGCCAACAAAAGGTAGTATTCAGGAGCATAACATATACTCTGTATTACCAATGTATCTAAAGTGATGAGATATGAACCACATATCAGAAAATAAGAATAAAAACAGGCTTCTACACATCTATCTAATTCACAGATGTAAGCAAATCTTGATAGCCTTCTTAATACCATTCAATAAAGTTAATTCAAGCACACTAGCCTTTCTAATAAGAAGACCCAGAATTGATGCCACCCTCTGCCACCACATATAGACCTTCAAGGTTTTCCTGAAAACAGCAGCAGGTTAGCAGACACACCACTCTCTAACAAGAGTACCCAGAACAAACCTCAATTCTTGCAACCACATATAACCTTTTCAGGATTTCCTTGAAGACAGCAGCAGATTAGAAGCCAAAATGGAAGATACAGACCAGTTAGTATCCAGTAATAAGGAAAGTAATTAATTAATAACAACTTGGGTGGTAATATAGGCTACTAATCATAACAATAAAAAAACAGTGTAGTTTACATATTGAGCTGTAATAAAATAATGAGCTTTAAATATGTATTCATTGTCAAGTTCAAGTAGATAGAACTAAGGAATACGACTACATAAACATCTGTATGCATACTCTTAAGAATTGAAAAAAATAAACAAACAAAACACAGAAAAATCAGAAGTGTTAAAGCTTCAAGTTTGTAAAAAAGTGAAAAGATGCAAGTAAATGTCTGTTACCTATCTATGGGAGCCTATGGCACTGGAGTTTTCTGAAGAAAACAAATCCTAAAGAAACTCAGAAATGATTATTGTATTTTGAAAGTTCAAGTACAAGGTCTAGTTTGTTCCACAGACCAATCATAAGCTTCTTTAAAGCAGGTTATGTCCATATTTACAGTATGAAGGTAAGTTTTATTACAGTGTTTTTATTTGCTATAACAAGCATGTAATATTTTAAATTAATTCTAATCAGAAATGTTTTTTTATATAATGTACACTATTCAATTTTTTTACTTTTTGTGAGGTAAAACTATTTTTATTTACTTATCATTTTTTTATACACCTACATGCTACAGGTAATGAGGAAAATGTTAAATTCCAGATAGCTAAACTTTCTTTAATAGACACAACATTACTATCAACATAAAAAGAAACATCACCATTTACGTTCATTATATACTTCAGTCATGTACTTGTGTGCTAGACAGTTAAAAAACAACCTAATTCTAGTAAGTGGAAGCAGAGAAATAATAGGGTGATCTCATTGAGAAGAAATCCTGCAAATCTTGTTCTAGCATGTAGTTAATTTCAGTACTACACCCTTTATAACACTTGAAAGTTCAAAGCTACTCAGTTGCTCTGATTATAAGTTTACAGCATTATTTACAGATCAGAACTTGGAAACTTTACAAAGTATTAGGTAAAGAAAAGAAAGGTGATAAGAATATACTGCAAGGAGCACACATATACATATACACACAAAGAAAGCAAGTTGTATTCTAGTTTTGGCTATATGAAGTTTTACTCATACAGAAAAGGGTGAAAACAAATTTATAATCATTAAATACATACAGTAATAAAAAGAGGAGAAAAGGTATGTAAAACAGTTCATTTACATGGAATAGTGAAAAAAGGAGGAAAGTAAATCAGTACTACATATCAGAGACTGAAATATCATTTTCAATTGTTATAACAGTGACCTTGGCTGACAATTATCATTCTTTTTAAGCCATGTTCTTTAAACAAATAAACTTAAATAAGTTTTTCTAGATAGTGTTTGAGGTATTATATTTGAAATTAATCTTTTAAGTGTTGTCTGTTTACCTATGTACATGAGAAATTTTAAATATACCTTGGTGCTACAATTAAACCATCTGAAATTTATCACGTGTTTGGCATTAGTGTTTTTCTGTTTCGTTTTGTTATTAAGTGGTCCTCTGCCAACTGGAAAATTTCTCTAAGAGTGACACTGAATAGTTTGAAAGTTGTAGAATTTCCAAGTAGATATGCATATTTGTAGTAAAGTATCTCAATTACTGAAATAACTTGGTATGGAATACTACATTTATCTTACTTGTATAGCAGACTGAAATCAACAGAGATTTGATTTCTGGGGACAGCTGTTTAACCATGTGATTTGTTTCCTCTCTCTTTCATAGAACTTCAAAACCAGTTTGATACCACACATGCAGTCAATTTGAAATGGCCTTAACAACCCATGCAAAAGTTTTTCTAATTATTTAATGGTAAAAATATGACATTTAATATATCAGGTTTTATTTCACTGGACTTCCTTCAAGCTATGGAGTTTGAAACTAGATTTCAGTTTACGTACTTAATGTTTGTATCTCTGTGTGGTTTGATTTACGAACTTAATAAAAAATCATAGGAAGTTTTTTTTCTCTCATTTAGCTTAGAAAAATAAATTGATGGTACAGGTTTTCTAAATTCATGGTTGAAAATAAAACACATACAGTTGACAATAATTTGTAGGGAATTTCTCCTGATATTATTATTATTTACTGATCTTCTGTCTAAAGAATATAGCATGACAGAAGCATTTATGTCAAATGGTCTAGCATGTAGTGAACAGAAACAGTTATTGTAATTTATTTTGTACATATTAATGTTTATATATGATGTAGATCAATAAGATAAATATAGATTTATAAATACTTAGCTGTTATTATTACCAAAGTGTTACAATGTTTTTCCAATATAGACCACAAATGCAACAGAAATGTTAATCAGTAATTTATTTAAATTTATGGTGTTTGTCGTTACTTAACTAAAATGTGATTGAAATATTTTTTGTAACTTTGTTACTATAAAAACAGTTTTTCAATGAGGTATTACTTATACAAATGGTGTTTTTGCCATCACCTTAAGCTATGACAAACCAAAACATTAACAGAAACAATTAAGAACAAGCAAATACATCTATGAATATAATCAATACAGCTACTACACTGTTTAAAAGCAAATATAAGTATATATTTGTCACTGCTTATCTTATTTTCTGAAACAAAAATTTTGGGTCTTTTCTGTTTGGTGCCCACCAACAGATCATTTTGAAAATAACACCAGTAATACAATAAAAAATATATTAATAATAAGACATTATATGATATTTCTTTAACAAATTTTGCAACATTAAACTATTTTTTTGAATAAATCTTCATCTTTGTTTCTATTTTTCCATATAAATTCACAAACATAAGAGTCAACCATTTGGTGGAGTTCTGCATTGATGCTTATTTCTTTGCTTTAATTTGTGCCACATACTTTCGATATTTTGGGTATGGCTGCAAGTTTCAGTATCTACAAAATTTTCTCTGTGATTTACAGTTTTAAGCCAGTAAAAATAACCTTCCATCTTCGGGATATTGGATGAGCTCGGAATGGAAAAGATCATTTTTGAACTGTTGGTGGGCACCAAATGGAAAAGATCCAAAATCTTATTTTTTGACTACTAAAACATTACTTCACATGATGAAGACTGTTATACAACTGTATTAACTTTAAGGTTGGTAAACAGTCAGAATACAGAGAATACAGAACAAACAATGCATCCAAAATTACCAATCATAACAAACCATGGAAAACAATGGTTATTCCTTTAAGTTTACATTATCAGTATTTTATTTGGAAAACATATCTAAATCAACTGTACCGTAAACTAACACCATGATTAATTTTGAAAGTAAGGCTATATTTCAAACTAACACCATTAGTTTTGATTGCAGGATCTTACTGTAAATTAACCCATTATTAGTTTTTACTGCAGAACTTTATTGTGAACTAATACCATTATTAGTTTTGATTGCAGGATTGTACTAATAACTAAAACCATTACCAGTTTTGACTGAAGGGCTATACTGTGAACCAATATCATTATTAGTTTTGACTGCAGGAGTGTATTGTGAACTAACATTATTATTAGTTTTGATTGTACGACTATACTGTGAACCAACATCATTACAAGTTTTGATAGCAGGATTATACCGTAAACTAACACCATTATTAGTTTTGACTGTAGGACTGCACCTTGACCTAACACTTGCAGTTTTGTACTGGTGGTGAATGATGACATCACATACAATTGAACTGGTGGTTAAGAATGACATCACACAAAATTTTAGTTTCAGATTGTCATAATAATGACTTTTTAACATAACATCAATTTAAGCAAACACTCAAATGTTCAATTAATGTTCCCTGAATTATTAATGTGAATATTGTGTCTTGTTTGGCATCAAATGATACGAATATAGCACTAAAATAAAATAACATTTAAGTTGTGTTTAAAAATATATAAAGTACATGTGCACTTAAGAAGATACAATGTGCATAATGCAGCCAAAATACAATAAACAAAGTTTACAGTAGCATATTATGACAAAAATATCAAAATGGGCAAAGTTCTGAACTTTGTGTTTACTCTGTAATTGAAGTTTCTTCTCGATCAGGTTTTAGGTCATGTTTGAG